TTGTTGGAGAAGCAGCTTTAATGAATATATTACTGTATATTGCAATGAAAGGAAGATGAATGATTGTGATCCAACTAAATTCAGTTCCATTACTTCAGACATTAATAAACATTGTAAGAAGTGCAGGTACAGATGAGAGAGAGAGCGATAGTAATGGGAAATGGGATAAGTTTTGTTTGTACCAAATGGCAAAAGAAAATAAAAATAAAAGCAGCTAGCTTTGGCAGCTGTAAAGATGTGTAGATAAATGGGCAAGGAATCTTGACTCTTTTGTTTTGTTTTTTGCCTTTGTGAGTGAAAAAGATGCCAAATTGAAGGAGTCATTCTATGAAATATCTGCAACTTCTATCATCATGGACTCGGTGCCACCCACCACCTGCATCTGGGACGCTAGATCTACATTCATCAATCAATGCTGATGATAGAATTGAAATTCAACAGTGGAGATTTGAGGGTTGGGTCCCAGTCAATCTTGGGTTTAGCTAATAAGATTACTATGTTGATGATTGAAATGGTGTAGAGTTGCAGGGAGGGAGAGGAGAAGATTTTCTTTCTCTTTTATTTGGTTGAATTTGAGGTTTGAACAATTAAATGAAGGACCCACTTGGATAATAAAGAACCGTGAAAAGAAAGAGAAGAAATGGTCCCATCTCCCATTGTAGCCAGTTGAGTTTTATCTTTTCCAGAGTGAGTGGGTACTTAAAGTTCTTTTTTTTTTAAAAAAAAAAAAAAAAAAAAAAAAAAAACAATCTTTCAGTGGTGTAAAAGATAATGAACCAAACGGGGGTTCTTTCTTTTTTGAATCTAACACTTGAGACACTTCAAAGTTCAAACTTGACTGAAAAGGAGACCCAACGCAGTGAATGGAGACATGAGAGGAAGTGCAGGTGGGGGGACGGAGTGAGTGGGTCTGTGATGATGAAATAAAAGAAAAGTGAAATTAATTCAATTGGGAAAAGCCATAAAACAGGTGGTACGCTACTGACCTCTTTAGTGTTTTGTCTTCTTTGTTTTTGTTTTCTGTGTGTGTATTTTACACTTTTTTTTCCCTTTCATTCTTCCATGTGCACTGTTTCTATTTCCCAATCATCATCCTTTACTTACTTCTTCTTCTTCTTCCTTGTCAAAATATTTAATTCCGGAAATCCATCTTTTCACGTGCTGCTGTCCATCTAATGAAAACTACTTATCAACACTGTGTACGCCTATGGCTGCTAAATTTTAGTCAAAGTTTGACAGTTGAATATGGCTATGAAAATGAAGGTGCCTCGAAATTTCGAGGAAGTTTGTAATATGAGAAAACTGGAGACCAGAAATATCAAATATGTCGATAAGCATTACACGGTGGAGAATCCTCGGTTTAAAAAAAAATTATGCCACACTCAATAAAAGATAACAGGGACAGATACCTTTTTCGGATCGAATTGTAATTTAAAGAATCAAATAAAATATATCATCTTTTATAATATTGTAGGAACTTGGAATTCATAGACTGTTTTCTTTCAACAAAATAGCATATAAAAATGCAACGTTTATCATTTTTTTATAAACTTTCTTTCATAATTCTAACGTAAGAGCTTGTAAATGAGCGAGACTTATAATAAGTAGACAAAATCTATTTGCGAACTAATCAATCACGAAAAAAGATTGTGAACTTAGCATTACTAGTAGCAATATAAATTTTGAGATTGATTAATGATAACTACACTCTACCCATTGCTTGCTTGACAATGGCTTTAATTTATGAAATCTAAGGGAAAGAAAAACCCAAAAAATTAAGATTGGGTAGAAGGCGGAAACCAGAGATTATTTAATTGAACAAATCCTGTCCATTTAATTAATTTAATATCTAATTAGTCATTGTGGTTTGTTTTGAAATTATTTTATAATATACTGATGTTATGTTATACATTCATAATTATAGCTTCCTTGAGAAAAGGTTTCACACTGAAGCCAGCCGCAGAAAAAGAAAAATACTTTTGGCCAATTTTTAATTAAATTAATCATCCCCTCTAAACTCAGAATTCAGAAACCAATGAATGATGGTGGTGGGAAATGAGAAAGGATTGGGTCAAGATGTAGACGAGTTATTCAATTTAATGTGATTCAAATACCTATCACTCATATCTTAAAGTAGTTGAAGGTAGGATAAACTTTGAAACTTTGCAACACCTTGTTGAACATGGATATGGTGGTTGGCTGCTGACAGTAGCTTGAGAGAGGTGGTGGTGATTTTGCTAAAAATTAAAACTTTAAATCATAAGGAGTGTTTTAGCAAAATTTAAAATATGAAGGTTTAAAAAAATTATTCAAATAATAATAATAATAATATTTTAATATTTTAAAAAGAGGGCAATTTAGCAATTTATATAAAATACCTATCCATTTAACTCTCAACCAAACATATCAATATAACATACTCATCAATTTATTACAACCTAATCAAACGCATTTTCCTAAACATTCTCAATAATCTTCAAGGTAATCTATCTTTTTATTAATATAGCATTTTTAGTAATACAACATTTGATAAACCAAACACACCCTATATTATATTAGTATATATTGATATAATAAAAAAAAAAATTTCAAAATGTTAATAACCATAAGAGAATATATGCTTAAAAAACAATCAATTAAGTTTTTAATTATAACAATAAAAGTATTTGGTAAGCAACTTTTAAAACTAATTAAGTTTGAAATTGATTATTAAATAAAGAATTTAATTTTTAAATATATAATTTAATTTTTTTATATAAATTTTTTTTTTTATGAAATAAATAAAATTGAACTAATAGCAGAGGAAATAGTGGATTGACAACAGATGATGGTTTCTACTCACCTCTGACAACGAGCGTCGCTCTTCATCGTCAATCCTAGCAAGACCTGCGGCAAAACGACATGTTGAAATCTAGTTATTTCTTCGGACCGCAGCACTGCTGTCCATATCCAATTTTTTTTTTCTTGAATATTAATTAATAATCTATTTAACATAAAATTTTATTACACTAATACAAAATTATTATACAATAGTTAACAAAATATAAATTTAGAATTATAAAAATATTTCAAGAAATAAAATCTTTGCTTTGGTCATTATATACACCAACAATTTTAAAATTTAATTTACCAAGCACACAATCATAGATTTTAAAAATTGGTGACACTTACATTCTAAAAATTGAGGAGAAATGATTAAACTTAAAACTACATCAATCTCAAACTAACCTTTAGTGGTGGGATTTAAATAAGAATANTAATTTTTAAATATATAATTTAATTTTTTTATATAAATTATTTTTTTATGAAATAAATAAAATTGAACTAATAGCAGAGGAAATAGTGGATTGACAACAGATGATGGTTTCTAGCCACCTCTGACAACGAGTGTGGCTCTTCATCGTCAATCCTAGCAAGACCTGCGGCAAAACGACATGTTGAAATCTAGGCTCCATTTGGTTCATTATTGGGTAATTTTTAGAATAATTTTTGAAAAAACTTAAATTTGGTAGATATTACGATGTAGAATTTTGAAAATTAACATAAATACCCCCTATATTTATTTATTTACTAAACACCCCTATAATAAAATATTCAAAATTAACAAAAACACCCCCAATCCACTCATAAATATAGACAGCTGGCCACCGCCGTCGGAGGGTGGCCAGAGTTGCCGTATCTGCGTATGACCGGCTCGATCTTGCTGGTCGTGCGCCGATATGGCCTTTTCCGGCCAGATCTACCGTGGATCTAGCCATTGACAGCCAGCTCTGGCCGCATTTGGTCGTCAACAATGGCCAAAGATACGGCCGTCGTTGATGGTCAATGACGACCATATCTTTGCCGTCATTGACGATTGTCTATTGCCAAAGATCTGGCCGTTGACAGCCAGATCTTTAGCCGTAGATCTGGCCGAAAAAGGCTAGATCAGCGCACTACCGGCCAGATTTAGCCGTAGTGGGCCATTACACCAGCTTCCGACAGTGGTGGCTGGAATCTGGTAAATTTGGGTTGCTGGGGTTTTTTTGTCAATTTTTAAAATTTGTTTTGGGGATTGTTTAATTAATTTAACAAATTTAGGGGGTTTAAAGGAAATTAAATAATTTAGAATTATATTTTGAAAATAGGTGAACCAAAGTTAACTTTTTTGGGAAAACTAGAATAGTTTTTCCAATATATGAACCAAACGAAGCCCTAGTTATTTCTTCGGACCGTAGCACTGTTGTCTATATCCAATTTTTTTTTCTTGAATATTAATTAATAATCTATTTAACATAAAATTTTATTACACTAATACAAAATTATTATACAATACTTAACAAAATATAAATTTAGAATTATAAAAATATTTCAAGAAATAAAATCTTTGCTTTGGTCATTATATACACCAACAAATTTAAAATTTAATTTACCAAGCACACAATCATAGATTTTAAAAATTGGTGACACTTACATTCTAAAAATTGAGGAGAAATGATTAAACTTAAAACTACATCAATCTCAAACTAACCTTTAGTGGTGGGATTTAAATAAGAATACTGTATGAAATTAGCAAACATTAACCATTGTTGCAATGCTTTGGCTTTACTACGGTTTTGAAAGGTTTGATAGAAATTGTCAATCAATTGAGAGTGAGGGTTCTTTCGAATTGGACAAAACATTCTTACATGTGCAAGAAGAAAGCAATAAAACTAAATAAGAAAAGATTATCAAATTAATTCAATATAGTAATCTGATTAAAGCAGAAAAAAGCTTCAAAATCTAATCTATATTTAAACTTACATATAATAATATATATTTCATCCACAAGGTATACACACAACACAGGAACGAGAACCAAATAATTAAAGTAAAACTGCAATTACAAAACTAGAAGACACAGTGAATTTTTCACCAATAGCGTAATATAAAATTAACACAACATACACCATACAAATGGAACCATCTTCATTCTAGTTCTCTTTTTTAAAGCTTCAATGGTGTTAAAGGCTTAGATTAGCTTAACTAGTTCTCCTGTAACACTGAGATATGACGTCGCAACTACGGGTGTAAGGATTAACGTAAGCTCCCTTCCGACAATTGTAATAAGAATGGCCACGATAGCCGCATGGAACCGCGTCGGGCCTAAGGCATGCATAACTGACGGACTCACTGTATTCAAACTGTCGACGCCGACTACTGGACTCCCTCAAATTCACGTCAAGACCGTACAAACAGCGACCGCCATTGCAGTCTTCCTCTTTGTCGCCGAGGTTGGTGAAACGATCCCAGCCGATTCCTTCCAAGTCGGTCGTCTGGACCGCCTTCAGCAGCACCGCTGAGAGGAGGAAGATTAAGAAGAGCTTTGAACACATGACTTTCGTTTAACTTTAAAATAATAAAACTGAAAGTATTAATGCAAGAGGGAGACAGTACGTTCTTGCCTCAGCCTTGCTTTTAAATTATACTATAGTATTGAGTAGTGAATAAAGGATGGTGGATGTAAAATTCTTCGGATAAATAAGAAAATGGATTATGCAGTTATTAATTATGTGATTAAACGTAATTAAAGGGTGCCCGTTTCTTGTTTCTTGTTCCTTGTTTTAGTGTATTAGTTTTCGTTTTTTTGATGCTATTAAGAATTTCTAAGAGGCCAAACCTTTGTAACTGCCATTGTAATTGGTATGCAAAACGGAAACATGCATTATGTCATTAACGGGAAAAGATTTTCTCCTTTATTTTTTTTCCATCTTTGTTTCTCGTCTTTTAATTCTCTTTTTATCATGTGTTAATTAAAACTTTCCAATTTTCTCTCATGAAATAACACATGGAAAAGATAATTAATACCCAAGGAGAAATAAGGATGAAAAATAGAAAAGGAGAAGAAAATTGATTGTCACTGCCACTAAATATTACTATTTTCTTATATAAACAATTGTTAATGTAGGAGAAGAGTTACTTTTGGTAGTTTGAAGTTTGAACAATATATATATCATTAATAAATTATAATGGGTTAAATGGTTACAACTTGTTGATGCTGTGATTTACACTAACGAGAAGTACATAAGATCTGTGGTGGAATCTACGTAAGAGTTTGTATGAAACTCGTAATCTCGATGCGGGATCGATGAATGAATGAGAAATTAAATAATAGTTCAAGGAAAAGATTTTTAAAATGATTCGGATGCTAAGTGCAAATCTTACATCTACTATTATTGTATTGCTTTCCATGTTGTCTCTGTATACAAGTACAATTTACAAAATATGAACTAATAATCAGATCCTTAATTTGAGTAAAAAGTAAGCTTATATACTAATACAATGATAAACTTGTATTAAAATTAACCTAAAAGAATGACATGTGGCATGAATTCGTGCTTTAGGAATTTACCGCACAATACAACTTATACATGATCAAACATGGTGAGCCTAAATAAAAGTATGGAAAGTTAATGGCCTAAAGCTGTGTCCAAAGAATATTGCAAAATGCTAGAATGTATATCACGAGCAAGCAAATGTACTTAGAGAGAGAGACGATGGAGGCTAATGATATTGTTAACTGAGCGAGCCCGATTTGCTTTTTTTTCTAAAATACACTTTCATTATTTTTGGTGATCACTAATGAGTTCTGCAATTGCTGTGGTTGCGATGTCAAGAAAGCTTTGTAAAGGATATTGAATTTATGATCATTAGTACCATAATTATATTTTAATCAGATCAAATTCACCAGGAATGATTTGATGCCATTTTGTAGTCTTTGCTTGTGCATGACTAGAAATATTGCAATGAAATGGAACTTTTATATATTTCATGTTCTTCAGATTTTTGGTGGCCAAAATTTGCGCAATCACCATCGACATTGTATGGTGAGAAGGAAGAACATTAATAGCCGTGAATAAGTATCTAACTGTGATAATGAGAATTAACAGTTATATCAGATATGAAAACCCAATGTCTTATTGACGAAAATTTTTGTGTGCAGTTGCTTGGTATTATTTAATACAAAGTTTTTTCTCTTGTTTCAGTTTATTCTATACGCAAGGAATGTCTTGGTTTTAGGTTGCTAATACATGTATAGATACAGTGATGGACATTGATCCATTCACTCTCTCTCAATTCATCGCGCGTAATCACTTTCGGAAGAATCAGCCTGAGGGGGATCACTTGTGGGAGAATTAGCTTCAGGGGGATCACTTTTGGAAGACTTGGTTTGAGGGGAATCACTTCTGGAAGAATTAGGCGGAGGGGGATTAGCTTGAGCCCCAGTCTTACAATTGAAATAAGATTGACCACGTTTTTGGCACGGAGTAGTGTCGGCAAATAAGGCACTATAACTCACATACTGACGACTTTCAAGATGTCGACGTCCACTCCAAGACTCCATCAAATTCTCATCACCGTACATCTCCTTGGTGAAGGCGATCGACTGGACCACCATCAGCACTGCCGATAGGAGGAAGATCAACCAGAGCTTAGAATCCATGATTTTTCACAACTTAAATAAAAAAGAAATGACGTTATTTTCCTTCTCTTTGAGAAAGGATATGAAGAGAATGATACACGAAATTATAAAGTAGTGGAGAAAAAAAGGTGGTGGATCTCAAATTCTTCGAAAAAAAACAAAGGATTCAATTAGAAAATTGGATTATGTGGTTATTAATTATTTGACTCAACGTAATTATAGGTTCCCCGTTTCTTCCTCTGACTCCTTAGTTTTTGTGTCTGAGCAGGATATTTGAGGCCTAAGACAAAACTTGAAAATAGGTTTATTTTTATTTTAAATAGATTTAACATAATTAATTAAATTATATAAAAAAAATTAACCACATGATTTACCTTCATTCTAACTAGGGGTGAAAACCGAGTCGAGTCGCTTGCGAGTGGCTCGAGCTCTACTCGGCTTTGGCTCGAATTCGACTCGGCATTAGTCTAGTCGAGTTCGAGTTCGAGTAGCTTGAATAATCTTATGAGTCGAGTTCGATCACTGTATAAAAAAACTTGAAAAGCTCAATTAAGCTCGAGTAAAACTTGATTAAGCTCAACCAAAACTCGATTAATCGAGCTCAAAATCAAACTTCAAGTTCGAACTCAATTCATCAAGCTTGACCAGGCTCAAACTCGAACTCGACTCGGTACTGTAGCAATTGAGTTGAGTTTGAATACCTAGATACTCGACTCGACTCGATTTGATTTCACCCCTAATTCTAATGATGTTTTGTCCTTGTCCATGTCTGAGCGACTGTCATCTTTCTACTATGTCAATTTTGATTCAATCCAAATATTATACCCACATGATTTGATTTGTGAAATTAGTTCACTAAGTGGAAACTCAATGTATGGTTTGATTTGATTTTTGAAATTAATTCATTGAGTGAAAACTTGAATGGCTAATGCGAAGTGTTAAGGTTAAGGTTTTTAATTCGTTAATTGTCTATTTTATTAATTCTTTAATTTTTTTATAAGTTTAATTTGAAATTTTTAAAATTTAACTTATAAATTCATCAATTATTACTAATTATAAAATTTATTAGCAATTTACTCCTTTACCCCTATCATATTCAATCTAACATAGAAGCATATATTAAGCCTCTATCTATCATATTCAATTTAATTTATGTATTTAAGGAAGCTGGAATGTGAAGGGAGGTTTTTGGAAATTTCTGATACATGTGGGAGGCACTTGAAAATCTAATACCTCAGGGGAGGTGTCTGATAATAACCCTTATATTTTCTTGCATAAAGTAAATGAGATATGAGTTCGAGTCTCTCTCTGGTTGCTAATAAGGATAGCCACTGGAACTCTTATTCAGCCGGTAGTTCTAAGGTCCTGGGGGATTAATTGGGGTATAGATAAGTTGACTCGAACACCCCTGGTTATAAAAAAAATGGCATTAGAGGAACTATCCGGTAAAATCATTCCGGATGAAACCCTAGGCAGTTGCTAGTGGTGGAGCTACATACCACAAAAATCTACAAATTTTATATGAAATTTTTTCTCAATTTAGTCCCTATAAATTCAATTTGTTTTTTGACTACCCCAAATTTTGATTTTAACACTTTGGACCTTATAAATATAACTTCCAACTGTTTTGTGGCCCCATAGTTCATTAAAGATTACATTTTAGCCCCTCAAAATAAATTTTATGGCTTCCCCCCTAGCAGTTGCCAAGGGCCTCAACTAAGATTAAGGACCCAAAATTGTCAAAATCAAATATATATATATATATATATTTTTTTTTTTTTTTTTTTTTTACTGAGTAAACCACATGTTCCCACCCAACGTTAAGTGAAATGGTAAGTTGCCACTCCCGATTTCATAAATTCCAGATATTTAGCCTTAAAGTAACACCGTTAACGAATTTTAAGTTCTGACATATATGCAGAAGACGCTATTACCAAACTTTCCTCCCATCTTCTTCTTCGTCTCCCCCTTATCCCATTTTCATCTTTTTCATCTACCCCTCCTCCTCTCGTCTTCATCTTCTTTATCTCTCAATCAACTCCCAATTGCGACTATTGCATGAAACCAAGGGTGAGTGGCAGACGACAATGTGAGCAACCACCATCTAATGGGATAGGGGTTTTGTCAAGGAGATGTCAATGGTGGTAATGGTGGGGATAGGTGGAGTTTTTGGCATCCAGAATGGCTGAAACCCAACCAGGAAGTGAGAGGTCACGCGAAAACAAACCTAGCGGCAGCCGACGATTGGTTGGGGAAGTGAGGTGGGGAATAGAGGGGTTTTGGTGTGGAGGGAATGGGGTAGCAGATGGTGGTGGTGGCGGGGTCCAACAGCTTCGGATTTAGCCGGTTGGCCTAAAAGCAACAGTTGTGCGGGTGATTTTTGGAGTTGTTTAGGAGTGATTTTTTAGGGGTTTTTGTTTGGAGTTTGTTTGACTATTCATTGGAGTTGATTTGTTGAATTTTAGAGATCATATTATTGAAAAACTTGCCATTTTCCTCTCACCCACCGGCACCCACCATCTGTTTGTAAAAAAGCCACAACCAAATCCAGCCACTCAGAGGTAGTTCTCTGATACCATTTTGTAGTCTGGATTTTGAAAACATTTTGCTTGCGCATGACTAGAAATAATTGCAATGAAATGGCGTAAAGAATTAAAGCTTTGTAGAGGATATTGAATATTTGAATTTGTGATCGTTAATACCATAATTAAATTTGGAAACATTTCTCGGATAACTAGAAATATTGAAATGAAACGGAACTTTTATATATTAATTGACGTAAGCTTTTGTGTGCAGTTGCTTGGTATTTGATAGATAGTTTTTTTTTCTCTTGTTTCAGTTTATTCTTTACTCAAGGAATGTGTTGGTAATACATACATATATAGATATATATAATAATGGACATTGATCCAT